ATTTCGTGAAGATATACCCAATATATTGGGTATATCTTCACGAAATGTAGCACTCTTTCAGTTAATATTACAAGTTTTCCACTTACAAAAAGTCCCATTTCTTAGTGAAGTGTTTTTAATAAAATAAAATAGATTTGTCCATGATTATATTGAGTATTTGTTTCGAATAGTCTGTGTGCAAAGTAATTTTTCATGTTAAGATTAAAAATACTTTTCGTAATCTCAAAAAATCACAAATTTCTTTTGTGTAATCCCTAAAACCTCTTAAATGCATTTCAAACGTTTTTTTGTTTTTTCAGTAAAACTTTATAGTTTATCTATTATTTTCTCTATCCTATCTCAAAATGGAATGGGTCAATTCAACCAACCTCGTAACCACCAATAAAAAAAAATCAAAATAAACCTAAATTAACCTTTTTTTTTCTTTCGAGAATGGCTTCAGATCGTAACATGAAACTACATTCGTTTATCCTAAGTAGCTCTAAGTTCGTAACATTATACATCTATTTATAATTAAATTTTATTGTTTTATTGCCCTTTAAACTGTGTTTAACTACTATCTGCGCTATTATAAGTTGTCAATCACTCGGGGGTGGGGTGTGCAGCTCACGTTATGCTATTGAATTCAATTACCTACAAGCTGCTCACATGCGTGCCTTGTGAACCATTTTAATTACATTATAATTATTACTTATTTTACCTAATCTAGTCTTAAATAACTTAAAAAGATCCATACTTTTAATTTGTTACTTTTATAATAATAAATAAAGTACTTACCCAATCTTATTTTTTCTTACCCTCGATTGTTGAGTAGAGTTAAGCCTGATTTTTTTTTTAGCAATTATTATAAAGCACTTAACAATTTTTATTTACTTATATAATACACCAAAGAATATAGACTAATAACATGCAAAATATAGACAAGTTCAGTTACTTCTAAAAATTTTCCTGTCTTTCTAACTGTGCGACAAGAGCCGTTACAAATTCATCCAAGCTCGTCGTTAACTTTCCCAAAGGAACGATGTTGCTACTCAGAGTGACAATGACGATTATCCGTTCAAAACACAGTGTTTTACAATACGCCGTTTCATAGATGAAAACCTTGACTTTCGATTGGTTATAAATAATATATAACGAAACTTAATAAAGAACTATCAACCAATTGTGAAAAAGAGGATGTAACAAGTGGGTATGGCAAGATGGGTCTGATTTTCTATTTGATAGCTCTGTAACAAAACAAAATTGAAGGCCATAAAATTATGGTCTGTTTGAGCAATAATAATTTTATAGAAAGAATTTTATGTTTAATTTTGTACATTTTGAGGGGTGATGGATAAAATAGAAATGTTGATATGCTAAGACAAAAATTGTCATGTGTTACACTAGTGGAAATTAAGGATTTTTTTTATATATTTCCTTTTAGAATTAAGAACTTAAAACTTGTATACTATTAAAATATGGATTATTAGCTAATACTTTATGCTATTCTAATTGGTATAACAAAAACAAAATGTAGTTTAGTAAAATTTTGAATGTAAGACCTTGTTTCATGCACAGTAAAGGGTACCCATGCTGATAGGGTTAAACGAGTACTGATGGTCACGTGACTAGGTCAAATTGACCTACCGCGTGTTGGGAGAGTTAAGCAACATAATCAATTGTATATGAACATCAATTAGTGATCTGTACAATACTTGATTAATCGTAATTACAATTAAATTGATTATTGCCACAAAAATTATCAACTAATGTTTTCAATTATTCCAACTATCCAGTAATCAAAGTTACGATTAAACCAATTAATATCACAAAAATAACCAACTAATCTAAACTGATTAATTCAGGTTTGTTCTGTCCAATAAATTAGTGTCACAACTTACTAAATAATCAAATAATTTAAATTAAGGTTTCCAGTTACATATTGCCATTTTTTCTTAAAAAGCACAAAGCTTGACAATAGGCTTTTTGTGCTCTGCCCAATGCAGGTATGGTTTGAATTTTGTGCAAAGTTACATGAGGGCTGTCAATGCTAGCTGTCCCTAATTCAGCAGTGAAGGACTAGAATGAAAACAATGAATAGTGAGATTGACCATCACCTTATAACATCCCCACAGGTAAAAGAGCAAGCACATTCTGTGTGAAGGGGACTCAGAACCAGAACATTTCAAGTCAAGTGCCCTAACCACCAGCCCCATTTTATTATTAAATACAAAATTTTTATTTAAATTTTTAACTTACAGCATGCTTCTTAGCAAAAATTTCCTTCAGAATGGTACTGCAGTATTTCATCTGTTCTGAAAGTTTCCCTTTTCTTGGTTTATTTGCATTCTAAAAAAAAAAATATATCACAACTAACATCATGCACCAAACAAAATATGTATCATACAATCAATATTTAATTTTCTCATTATCACAGAAAAAATGATTTATGTTTCATATTCAATGGATGTAATGCAGTAGGATCAGTTTAAAAGTTATTATTACACATTTTAACTTTAAGAAAAATATCAGTTAACAACCTGGATATCTGGAAGATCCTTTGATGGCTTTTTAATTGGTCGCCCACTTTCTCTTCTTGTAGACATCCTGGAAACTTTAGTATCATTAGAGGTTTGATACACTAACATATCAGGTGGCACACTGTTTGAAGGGGTTGTTGTATCTGCTTTCCTCTTGACCCCTTTTTTTACCTATTAGTCAGTGAGAACATTCAAATATTACTATAATTGGTAACAGCCTTTAGAATACATATCATACAATAACAAAATAACACAAATGTACTAGTTTCAATTAAAGGGCTTTTTCAATTGGACTAAATATTTCTCAACATCAGTGTTTATTTCTTGTCTTTGTATTAAAAATAATCTTTTAGCTTCTTTTGCTTACTTAATGTGGACAGAAAACCTTATACCACCAAATACAGTAAAAGATATTTAGATAACACCGCTTATATCTATACATGCAGACCAGTTTAACCCTTCCCGAGACGGATCTTCCTATTCTCAGATGTCAAAGGCCAAGTCATCAAATTTGTAGACTTTTACATTCAAATTTTACTGAACTACTATTTTACGAATGTAGGTCAATAAGTTTGGTATCGAACTGTAGATTATAATTCAAATTTTAGTATTATACATCAGTTAATTTCTTTATTTAAAAGTAAATATTAAACAAAAACCTAAATATGTCAAGTGGTATTTTGAATGCAGCATTGTTTCAAATTAGATGTTTGTGATGTCCAAATACAAAGTCTATAGTTTCTCATGAATAAAACTTCCTATCTTTTCTATTATACCTAGTGAATCTGGAGGTTAGAGATTTTGCATGTGAAATTTGAAAATTTTTTGATGCATGAACGTATTTTAAATCTTAAAATCAAAATTACTTTGCATGTTGAATAATCAACAATTGAAAATAAAAAATGCAGGAGTAAATAATTAGAAAGTGTAAAAAATAAAGTAAAAAATTGATATATTATGTACGAATGCCTTGTAATGTTTACTGATTATCTGCAACATTTTGTGAAGATGTGTGTACATTTTTAAAAGTTACAGTTTAACTGCTTTATAGTTACTTTGGGGAAGACAGGCTGGGGAGAATTTATGGTACTGTAATAAGAGAGTTAATGTATTCTGTATTCATTTTATGATACTTTTTTTGTATATTTCAACTACTATATCATTCTGGCTATTATTCCTTTCCTTCCTCAAATTTTAATACTTTAGATAGTTTTATATTACATGTTTTTGTCTTATCAGGGGTGCTTCTCATTGTAATTTATACTGAATTTTGAAAAGTATAGTCCAACTATTACTTACATCAGAGTTAAACATTAACATCAGCCCAGGACGATAAGAAATACATTCAAGACAGTTTCCGACATGACACTTTTTGATATACTCACACATTTGTTTTTACAGAAAGAGCAATATTAAGTTCTTAAATGCAGTGTGCTAAAATGGTTTGTTCCCAAAAGAAGAAAATGAAGCAATTTAACAGCCAATCACAAAATTAGTTTCTCTCTTGCAGATAAAAATCAATAAACTGATCAGTTTGTCACTGAAGACTACATTCATGGTATCATAACAATCCAAAGCCATTAGATATAGTTACATCAATTATACTTTCTACATTTCATCTATTTAATCACGTACAGCATTTTTATTTGGAACATTTTAAGTTTTATGGGTATACTTGTAGCTGACAAGCATACCAAAAATAATGTTTTCTGTACATAGTGCTATTATCAAATAATTTTTGGGTGACTAGCCCCGATCTGGTGAGCAGTGTTCCCTCTAAGCTGTGCTGCTGCACAACAACCAATCAAGTGCCATGCCCTACATTATTCCAGCCATGCACATCCTCAGTAATGGTGAGGAGTCTCAACACACTGACGGCCTTAACGACCCTGGCAGTCAATTGGCCTGATTCAATAGGAACAATGGTCTAAAAAAATTGTATCACACATCTGCACATTGCCTTATTATAGTCACTTGTCTAAATGGGCTAGTGACTTTAAATGTTAACATAAAGACCTGTATGTTACATCATGCTACCAGAAAGTAGTTAAACTGTTAACAATAATTACTAAAAAGGAATTTAACTATCTAAAAGGATGATTGGAGATTTCTTTACATGTCTAAAAATAGGTTCTCTAACCTATGCATAATTAAATCTTCCATCAGGATGGAAAATGCACGTGCAGGTTTAAACTTTAAAGAGAAAAAACAAACAAACAAGACTCAAGATCATGTATTCATTTTACAATAGATGGCTTAAAAATATTAGATTGCATTATTATTTCATTACCAATGAATAAAATGATGAGTCATATAATGTATTTATCATCGTTTTACTAACACATAAAACAAAAGACATAAATGGATTAGCATACTGGGTTTTCTTCCAAACAACCTAAGTAATTTTTTTTTAACAGTACAAATATTAAACATATATAATCTTCATTTGGTAATCAACTAGTAACACTATGCTAAATTTTAATTTCCTTGCATGTGTAAACATGTTTTTTTTTTCTATGATAAGTGAAAGAAAACACACAAAGCTTATTAATGTTTTATTAGAAAATGAATGCAAAAAATTTATTACATATAGATCAGTGTTCAAAATTATAGTGCTTGGCATATTTGGAGCATAGAGCCAAGAAATTAGTGGTATTTGATAATCAACTAGTTGATTAGTACAGTTTTCTTCAAACTACACCTCTTCTCCTGGTTTGGTTCAATGTATTTCAGCAGCTATGTGATTACAAATACAACACTTCTGGCTTCAACACCATTATAAAAAATACTTAACGAAACTTATCTGGGAAAATGTACACAGTATTGTCGTAACAGGTGATTTTGGTTACATCTTTCCTCTTGGTTGGTTACAATGTATTTCAGTTGAATGTAAAAGGAATTTTTGTGAGATCACATGGAAACTGTTTTAAGGTATGGGCAGTATTATAGGCGTATATTCAAAAGCCATAAAGGTCGTTAACAAGGAGTGACAATAAAGCTAATACTGCCTAGGTTTTCTTGTCTACTCCTTACTGGGTTTCAAAGTTTGAAGGATAAAGTTATAATAATTAATTGTTTTACAGCACAGAACAAGTTCACATTACTTTAACTTTGACTTTTACTTAGGTTACTTTAAGACTTTATCAACACTGATTAATCCAAAATACTTGATTTTTTTTTTAAAGTGAAAGCCTCTCTCATGAAAAAAAAAAAACAAATCACTGAAAATGTGGTTATACCGCTAAGTTTTAAAAAGTTAGTGTATTATACTTTCATTATAAAAATAAACCATTAGAGCAGCTAGCATGAATAATGTAATGTGTTGTTCACACAATACTACTATTATTTAAATCTAGTTTCTAGATTTATTCTTATTCATTTTCTAACGGCCCTCAAACTTTACAAGATAAAGCTATAATTATCATAAGTTTTATTTTGAAAAATACATTGATGTTATTATAATTTTATTAAAAGTTACAGTTTAAATGCCAAAAGCTAGCAAAATATTGGAAAACACAATATTTAGGGCACCTAAAACAATAATTGTATGGAAAAATGTAGGCATTATTGTTACAACAGGTGACTGTTAAGTGAATGAATCTTTTACTGTTTCTAAACATTCAACAACGGAAGAGCTTAGGGTACAGCTTCAGCACCTGGTGGTACAAGTGGTAATGTTTCTGCTTATTTAACATATAAATAAAAGCTCTTTCACTGGTATAGTAATCAATTTATGGCAACTAAATTAATATTTAAAATATAATGAAAATACAAACCAATAATATTAAGTGGCATACCAATTAGAAATTGGGTAAAGTACTAGAAGTTAAAAGTTGCATTTCAACTGGAAGACCTTTTCATGTAGTGACACCGTACACAAAAATTTCTAAAATACTGGAAGCCAACTGTAAACATATTTCACTTTTTTTGGGTAATCCCTGTAAAAGCATTTTTGCAAAATATACAGATTTCCTAAGGGGTTGGGTGAAAAGTTCTACCTTTTGTAAACCTCAGGGCCAAAACGATTCGTTTGGCACCATTTAGAAATCAGTACGACTAGCGGTTTAGGAATAGTTGTGTGACATAAACTGAATATTATTATACAGATATGTTTACCATAAAATGTGTAAGTGATTAGTCTGTCCATAAAACAGCCAATTAACTAAATTTTATCTTTAAAAACGTTAACATTCCTCACTTTGGCAGGTACTGAGGTGACTGTGGTGATGGCAGTTGTCTGTGTAACTCCTTCCAGATGATGGTTGGTAGGGCCATGTAACGTTACAGGAAGAGCATCATTTATAGGTGTCATAGATGGAATTGACAGGTAAGAATCTCCTATTCCAGTGTACGCATACGGCTTCTGTGCAACATGAAGGGGTGCTAAGGTAACTGCCGCAGTTGAAGACAGGGTAGTTGTTGTGTTGGTGCTTCCTGGTACACTGACTGGTGCCATGGTGGTCAAAAGTGGTGGATATGGAGCAGGCTGGGACTGCGACACAGGGACGGAAGGCAGAGAGTTTGGCACAGTGGCTGCCACTGAAACAGGAGTTGCTGGATTCGCTGCCACCGTTGCCATTGTAGCTGCTAGAAATGAACACTATCGTATTTACTGTTTTTGTCTTTCATGAAATTTCTGAGTATTTACTTTTCAACAATATAACTGAAAACTACCGAGAAACATAAAACTGCATCATTTTACTAATTTTAATTACAAAATATTTTACAATTACTTTTCATAATAACTGAATATCAAATAACATGATAAATATGGATATATATAAAATATATTTAAAATTAATCTACAAACATTTATAATGTCAACACAAATGAAAATTACCTCTCCCTCTGGGACCACCTTTTCCTTTTTTTCCTCTTCCCTTATTCCCTGGGCCTCTGACTGGTGGCATAGGGATTTCAATTTCCTATTAAGAAACAAAACCTCATCAGCATTTCAATAAACAACGAGCCAATGAATGAATTTAAAACAAAATTAACATGGAAGCATTCCAATGTTTATTTGAAAACTCAAATTGCAAAACCAAACCCAAGAAAATGGCTGTTATTTTCTATACAAGTCAATAAATTTAAGGTTCCAATCTTTTTATTAAACTTTAAATCTGGACAGAAAGCCATAATTCATCATCGCTTACTTGGTTTGGCATCTCGGCTATCTTTGTCAGGAACAACTTCTCTAACGTCTGTGCCATAAGAACAACGTCCTTAATACAAATAAAAAAAGTGCAGTTATACACTTTGCAGAAACATCCATTTTAAGAAATTATACCACAATAGCAAACATTACATAACATTTCTTACAAGAAATAGCACATAACTTGATTTATGCTATGCCATAAATAAGTTGGTCTGTTCTGTTCATTTTCAAACTTAAGCTTTCCCTGCTTTTTTTTCTCTGTTTCTCTTTCCACCATGTGCATGTTCTCTTTCGTGAGTCAAGACTTCACTTTCAAGTTAAAAGTTTCCTTTTCATACTAACTAATCAACATAACTTTTCTTTTAGAAAACGTTTTGAGAGTGTTGGGTGTTTTCACTGAATATTTACTAAAAGTAAATATTACCATCAATATTTTTTTCTGTGAATTTTAATTCCTTGCAAATTGCTTCTACTGGCTATTGGATAACATTGTAATTTAACCACACTTGACCTTTAATATTTTTCCATTGTGAAAATAAATTGTTAAATTAACTAAACAAGCCCATAATTCATTAATGTTATGTCTATAAACTCACAGTTTAAAAAAATAGCATCAATCAAATGACAGTAGTAAACCTGTATCCAAGTCATGAATCAGCTACCTTAGTTTCAAGACAGCTGGGATTAACCTTGGATTTATTATTTTAACCTCAGATAGAACAGATGTTTATCATAAAGACAACCTAAACATCTCATTTACAGAGGTATATTAAGTTGTATATTTCATACTTTAGGCTTTAATTTAAACTGTTTTTCCACCTACTTTCTTTCTATGCTATTAAGATCTGCTTAAAAAAGTAATTTTTAACCTCTTACAAACTAACATTTTAGGCTACCAATGACTTCCTTTTAGTAGAGAATTATAAAAAAAATTAGCAGTTTTTAATATCTTATTCTAACTTTTATTGCTGGTAACCATGTGTTATGTCATCACTAAAAGTTTTAAGTAAATATCAACATGTAATGTCTAACCATTAGTTTTTGCCAGAATAGTTTCTGAACTTTGCAATGCCATGTTTCATCACTAATCAACGTACTTTTTCGTATAACATTTTTTTCATGCATACAATTTTATCCTGCAACACTAGATTTATTAAAAAAACAAAAATTCTGTCAGTTTTATCATGTATATTCATTAATATATAACATATACACGTCCCGTCCCATTTAATGTTCATTTACAAACAGATAGTGTTTTACAAACACTTGATCTGACATTCTTAATGAAAACTACATACCAGCTTAACTTTTCAATTAAAAACATAACACAACAAATGACACCCAAAAGGAACTGGGAACCTCTTAAAATGTCACCAATAAGAGAGGGAGAAAAGAACTAGTCACCAGAGTCCATGACAAAGTTCAAAAAAAAAGGAAAAAAGAATAACCAACAAAAAAATTAAGTAAGTTGAACAACATTTTAATGTTGACTTCATAAATGTCTGTTATAAAGCCTAGCTTTATTTTCATCTCGTAGCACTCTATGGTCAACATTCTGTACATTAACACAAAAGAAAAAGCTTCCCTTAACTGACCAATTTTTAAAACATTTTATAATGTATGGACATTTTTTTGTGAGATTCTAAAAACAAGCAGTTAATTGCTTTCATTATTCAAATTCTACATTCCTTTGTAAAAATAATTCCAATTCATAATAAGGATTTAGTTACAATGACTAGGATGTCTCGGAGAATCATCATTCCCTCTTATATATAACAGAATTATGATTTACTCTTTGTTTACTGACCTACTTGCTTTCTACGTTTTTCTTCACGACCCTTTCCACACCTATATCACATTTTTTGCATTTACGCAGAACAACATGGAAGCTTAAAATAGTGTCAGATTTCAGCTATAAAATAAAACTAGCCGAAACATGTAGGTTCAGAATTATATGGATACTTCTTTTGAATAAAAAAAGTTCAAAGTGCTAACTCGATTTGATTTTGTTTGAAATCGATGAAGTTAGAGATATCAAAATATGTAAAAATCAACTGCACACTTTCTTTTACAATTTCCACATTTGTAGTTCTAATAAAGGCAAATATAGTTTAAAACTGGGATTCTTTTTGACAATATTTGTCATGAAACTCCCCTTTCTTCCTGTTGTAAATTCTAAATTTTTAACCATTCAGTTATTATAATAGCTTGTCTTGACCATGCATTTATTAAAATAATTTAAATATCATAATTTTCTTTTTTAGATATGAAATATAAATGTAATAAAAAAAACGATTTTACTGATTTCCCTGCTGGTTTATTCTGTTGAATTCATACTTTGGCAAAATTGCTTATTACTTTATGAACAAAAAATTCCACTAGTAATTTGGAACTAAGAAGTCTTGCAAGGGACTTCATTTCAGCAAAATTGTAGCGATTAGTAAGGCTTTTTTTTTAAATAAATGTCCGTAATTCCTAAAAGAAATTATCATGCAGCTTCTATAAATAATACTTACTAAGCTAAATATCTTTGTAAACTAGTTTTAACAATAGGTTTTTCTTTCTTGCAAAATGTCTTAACCTAACAAGCTTGTGAAACCTGGATTTCAGTTCGGCAGTTACTGGTGTGTTTCATAATGACATAGTATACAGCTGTCGTAAAGCAGTTAATATTTCTTCATAAATTATAAATTTATCAATAAATCTAATTTATAACCAAAATCTGAATGATTATTAAATTTTTTGTATGGAGTGTGTGTGTGTGTGTGTGTCTCATATATGGTTATGTTCAGAAATATATATTTTTATGAATACAAATGCAGAAACAGTAATACAGCCACTGGCCTGGAAAGGGTTATAATTCACAGTTAACCCTTTCTGCTCTGTCCTCAGTCCACAACACACGTCATGACATTTTACAGAGTTACATACAAAATTTTAACTTTATTGTCAACAAATTTGGCATCAGAACACGGTTTATAATTCAAATTCTTATATCTAAATTTTTTATTTCAAATGGAAATATTTATAATAATTCTTAATCTTGACTTGTGTTGTCATGTGACACGAGTGCACTCCCAATTATCTCTCTTATTATAGCTTCTACAGTGTCTATAAACACAAGCTATATTTACAAGGTCATATATACCATTTTAACATCCTAACATCTCCATTTGCCAAGATATCAATATACATATATATATAAATTTTTTCCAACCCACAACAGAAACCCTGCACATCTACGCTCAACTTTCCAGGCAGTCTTCAAAAGCACATTTTATTTAATGCACGTTTATAACCAATAAAAAGTTGTTGTTTTTTTCTATTTCAAGCTTGCAACCATCCTTTTAAATTTGGCAGCAGCAAACAATGTTGAGACGAAATAAGTGAGAAATGTGAAAGTGGAGCTGTTGCTCATAGCAGTAAGAGAATTCTTTTACTCTATTTATAGCTTAGTTACAAAGCCAATTAAAATGAGAGTTGTTTTTGGCCATTATATTCTAGGGACTGATACATTGTTTATGTTCTAAGACATATATTTGAAATGTACATACATTTTTTGTTTGGACAATGAACTTAGGGGGAAAAAAACCTAGGCTTATTTAACTACATGTTTGAGTTAGCATTTTCCCATCGCACAGTACATTAATATACAAGAATCTGATCATGTGCTCTTGTTGCGATGTACTGGTTTTCACCTGACCATAAATTGCTTAAGTGGTACCAACTAGACAATAAGACCATAAAATAAAAATGGTGTGAAGATGTTAACAGTTGAAATTCTGGATATAATTAACTGAAGATGTGGCAACAAAAGATGCATTCAAAGAAAAAAAGGTAATATTCATTTTATTTCAAAAATTTCATTTCACTGTACATTGATGGTTTAGCAACAGTTTGTGTCAAAGTAGAAGAAATAACAGATAAAAGTTTCTCCTTAAAAACTTATTTATTTAGCAGTTAAGAGATTATGCAAATTACATAAGAAAACTAAGATTTAAAAAAAAACTTTTTCCCTAGCATGAAAACCATCTTGCACTCAGATTGACTCAGTAAATGCTTTGCAAGTTCACAGAAAAATATTTAGTAAAAACCATTTCATTAAAAAGGTCTGATTTTTTTGTGAAGAACATACTTTTAATTTTTTACTGAAAGCTCGCCCAATTTCATGAACATGCACTTATATTATGTATAGTTTCACAGTTACGTGGTGGTTACAAAATCAGTCAAACTGAATAGAGTTAAGAAACTCTTCTTGTTAATCACATTGCCCCCTTCCACCTTCTTGCCAATAAGTCTGACTAATTTTACCCTTCTTATCAATATCATCTTTAGCATCACTGGACACTTAACCTCTGTATTTTAGACGCTTCTGGAATAACGCAATATTATAGTAATAAACAGCCAGCCATTAATATTATTTTCTTTTCTAGGAGGTTCGAACAACTGTTCTAAATTCAAGTAAATGCAAATGAAAACTTCTATATATAAATTTGTTTGATGTGGAATCAATCATAAGTATGGTGGAACATTATTAAAAAAAAGATTTTTTTTAACCCAGACTTTCACAACCTTGTCTAAGAATGATATATAACATACGCAATAAAATCACTAACAACATTCTGAAAAAGTACATCTACAAATATTAATAAAAAAGTGTTTTAAAAAAATCACAAAACCTGTAAAAAAATAAAATATAAAGATGTGATCTTACATTATATACATGCACAATTGTTGTTGTTCCGAAGTTAAGCACAAAGTTAGATAATGGGCTATCCGTGCTCTGCCCACCACGGGTATCAAAATCCAGTTTTTAGCATTTTAATTTCGTAGACATACCGCTGTGCCACTTGTGGGCACGTGCATGCACAGAAAAGTTCAAAACAAACAAAAAAAGATATGTCACTCTTTACACTTGGTGGATGGTCAGTGTTACAAAAAATGCATATCATGGCTAAAAAAGAACACTGATCATTTTAAGAACCTAACTGAAGCTTCATTCTAATTTTTATGTATAAATAGCATCAGCACTGTCCAAGATCTCTGCTAATACAATGGACAAATGTGGAACACTTACTTCTCTAGATTACCTCTTAAGCATCAATCGATAATAACTGATTAATGTAGTTTTAGAGCAAGGAAAGATCCAATCAACGACTTCTTTTATTGACATTTTCAGTTTTAAAGGAATACAAGCACTTTCAACAATTTAAGTGCACAGTAGCATACTACCTATTACAAACCTTGGTAATACAGACAAATAAATAATATGCTTTAAAATACAGCATATACATATATAAAAATAAAATAAAAACTTTCTAGAAAAAAAAAATTAAAAAATATACTTCATGAGATTGTTCTCACCTCTCCTGGTTTATTGTACACATAACAATTAGTAAACATGGTCTTGAAGTCATCCACACATTCAGTAGCAGAATAATACCAACAGTTTTCTAGCCTCTTCTTGATTGTTCCTAGATCCATTGGCTGTTGAATGATTTTGTGATAGTCCTGAATGTACAAAAAATTTAAAAACCTATATATGTAGTTATCTTTAAACATGCATGGTTTCAACTGTCTTACCTGTTAAAGATTCCCAGTTTAAACAATAAATAAAGCAGTACAAATAATACACAAGTATTGTTCACATATAAAATACATCATTCCTATAGTACGAGCATTCTTAAATTTTGAATGTTATTCAGAAAAAGAGCTCTTTCTTCAACCCTAAGTATTATTCACACCCGTTTGTTTATTATTGTTGAAATTTATTCAACTTATTCACTACCGAAAACACACAATAAGCTAGGTATGAACTAATATTTGATATGCATTAGTACACTGTAATTTGATTTACTAATAAAAATTACTCTAACTTTAAAACAACTTAAGTATATTACTCACAGGCAGATTCAGTTTAATTGTATCCACAGGTTCATGAAACGGCCAAGCAAACTGGTGTTTCCACACAGCTTTCATTACAACTTTAAGGAGATACTGCAGTTGATTAGTGTTCCGGTGAGGTTTTTCTGATGGAGGTACAAAATACGGTTGAACAATGCCATTCACCGGCTCTGGCCCAGTCTCTTCACTTGTAGCTGATGCATCATTCGTGGCATTCTGATATGGAAGAGCCAGACAAGTAACCTGTATTGATGTGATTTTTGTGAGGGAATCTTATATATTTCATTGGTGTACAGAGAACCAAATTTTCTAGTTAAAGTTACACATTACTTCATACATATCATGAGTTTGCATCTTTTTCCTAGAACAGGGAAACTACTTAAATGTTCAAGTTAATTATTTAGCATCATTTACCCTAACCCCTACAAAAAGAAAAAAAAATGAAAGCACATGTAAAAAAAAGCTATTATAATAAAAAAAAAAGTATTTTTAATCTTACTTAAACAATTCAATATAACACTATTACATCTTCTATTGCTAATAAATAGAAATTTGAGTTTTGGAGCAATTAATTAAAATTAATGCAGAGAGGCCCATATGTTGACCATATCACAACTCATATTTAAATAAATATCCTACCAATCATTCATAAATCAGCTGTATCACTAAACTTAAGTAGTTGAAATTAGCAGTACATAGTAGAAAAACCAGAATACCATACATAATTTCAAATGTGGCATTATGAAACTTTTCAGATGCTGGATGCCAAATACAGTATACATCTAGACAAATCTAACAAAACAGTAACACTATAGTTCAATTATATCCAAAGAAAAAAAAGGTTCAGTTACAAAATGTAATAATTAGTAAAATTTTTAGTTTTAAAAGTTCCTCTCTCAAACAATCTATATAATCAAGATAAAAAAACTATCTTGAGCCCATAAAAGTTACTGCCCTACCCATATTTTAGCAATGAAGTATTCTATTGTCATTACAAATTAAATAAGAGTTCAATGTTTAAAGCTTTTATTCTTGAATAAAAACTAAACAAGCAAATCTGAGGAAAGACAGGCATTGACCTGATCACAGAAACTGAAAATGTTGAGTATAACTACAAAAAAAACACCATTGTAAGAAAAATACTCAAAAATTTATTTAAGTTCTTAATTTGTCCTGGAAATAAACATTTAACATCCAGATGTTATACAGAAATAAAACTACTTGTAAATAACAAGAATTTTACATGATACAACTATCTCAACTTGCCTATTTCAGGTATCAGTTACAACTGAATTCTGCAGATTGATGTAACAAAGGAAAGTGAAATTTATTTAATTATGTCTGTCTCCTCTTTGGAAACTGTCAGTTGACATAATTTATCTGCTCGTATATCTTGTGGAATTTAATTAATAAAAGTGATATACCTTTCAACCACAATTATCTATCATTATATCAGTATATTTTGCTACAAGTTTCAACCACATTTTTTTGAGTTATCATCAGGCAGAATGAAAGCAGACAAAAGTATATATGCTGTATTTAAAAAACTTGTTTTTAGAACACAGTGCATTTCAATTTTAAATTAATGAAAAGATCAATCAATACATTTATACACTATACATATTGTAAAATGTTTAACCTAATTAAGAAATGTAAATAATATATCAATAAATATATATATATATATCTATAAAATGTTAATTCAAGTACAGCTGGAAGACTTAAGTTCCAGAATCTGTCTTTTTCTTTAAAGAAAAATCTGTGTTTAATTACTTTTATCGACTCTTTTACATTCAGTTCTTGTAATTACTCATGAAACAAATTAATCTGGTCGGATCACAGGATACAGTGGTTATATTTAATGTCACATTCTGCTACACACTATAAAGTTCCATTTTTGTCTTTTACGGCAAGTTTACATTCATTCAAACAACATTTTGGTTTACGAATTTTCTGACCAATATAAACACTGTGAATGTAACAAAATTTAAGGTAGCACTGACCCTTAAAACTGGGCAAACTTACACACTGAGGAAACACTGTTAACTACTTCTTATAACCTTCAAATGTATGATGTCACAATCTCTGATATATGTCATATGTATAATTAACGCAGCAGGGATAAAGAAATACATAAACTGTTTTAACACCATTACTTTACTTAAGAATGATAAAAACATGTGCTCTTAATGAACATTCTCATAGCTTGAATTAAAAACTTTGTAAATTTTCTGCAACATTAACAAGGTATGGGCAATTAAGTTTAATTAATGCCTTTATAAGTGGTAATAAGACTCATAACAAGACAACTGGTCAAGATTTTTTAATCAAAAAACTTCAAGCTATAGAAGAGTGTACTAAATTTCAAACTAACATTGCTTTTAATGGTGAAGTGGAAACAGAATGAAAACAAACTAGACTTATTTTTAATCACTTACTACAGGTTAATTAGTGAAGATTTTAAGACAAAAATGAGTTATTTATGTAGAAAAGAGGTTAAGCTTTCGATTCAGGCTAAATTTGAAAGATGTGATCTTTGAAATATTGGGGGCACTCTTTAAGGCTCAGTGTTACCTTAAGTTCGACATTTTACCTTATGTATAGTATAGTTTCTTTTTTTTTCAAATACAGTTTATTTACTGTTGTTTTGTCAGCTTTTATTCTGTCTGATGATAACCCCCCAAAAAAGTGTTCAAAACATGTAACATGTCCTTGTTTTGTAATAATAGATTAAATGTGCTTTAAAAGATGCATCACTTATTATTATCATCAGCTGACAGTTTAATTTCACATACCAATAACAGTGTTAAATGAGTTATTTTTTTAAAATTAGTTATACCTTGCAATTTCTACCTGGTTTTAGATATTTCAGTGTTTCATTACATGGCAGGGGGTAAAATTGAATTATTAAAACTAAAAGCATAGTATTAAATTGTACTTCTCCTAAATCTCAAATTAAGCAAGATTAATATGAAACTAAATACACATCTAAAGCATGTTTTTATACTTATGCTTGTTTATCTGAGTTCATTTAAATAAATACAGGTGTATTATAAGCCTGCTAAAGTGAGTTTTTTTGTTAAAATCAATGATATATCAAAGTAACATACTAATATTTTTTTTCTTTATATTAATGTGATTTCATATGGATAACAACATGAAAAAAGTGAGTACAGAGAAAAAGATTAATTTCAAAAACAGTATTTTCCAGTAAGTGTAATAATTTTGCTGCTACAAGTACGAAGATACTATTCACGGTACAGACTTTCAACCTCATATTCTAGCCATGTGAAAAGTTTGCTCGACTAAATTTTATAGTTTAAGAGGCATGAGGAGTTCAATCTTGATCACAAGGCTGAATTTTTTTTTTTAAATGCCAGCTTTTTATGATTTTACTACGACAAAAAATACAAATCATATACAGATTAACTAAGCCTACCCATCTTGTTATTTATCTATATTTGAATGACAAATTGAAGAACACAGTAATGTAAGACAGGGAATTGCATATATCAGCAAAGTTAATAAATCATTAATATATTTTTCATGCATAAACTACTTCAAAAAAAAACTTACCACATCATGGTTTCCACTCTCTTCTTGTGACCCACCCATCCTATAAAGTACTTTATCATCAATGTCTATTCAATTCAACTACAATCATACATTTTTTAAATGTTAACACAATATGAGCTACTGAAGTTAATTTTTCCCAATAGATGTTGACAAATAAAGTAGAAAATATAAAACTTTTTAAAGAAGTTATTTTCACCTTTGTTATTAATATTTTTTTTTTCATTGCCATATCTTTTACAACCAAGAAATAAAATTTACCTAACAGCATAGCATCAAATCCAAAGAACTTACAAGTATTATATGTTTTCTTGTAAATTTAAAGCTCATAAATATTTCTATACTGTACACAAGTGTTGTAAAATCTATGTTCTGGATATATATTACAGTTCAAAAATCAGTGTCTTAGGGCTTTACATTAACATACAGCAGCTTAAGCAAGACAACATTAACTCTTGAAATTTAGTTGAACACAGGATAGTGAACAATAGCCATCAGGCTTTCAGAATGTTAAATGACTAAGAAAATATAATAGCAACATGTTCCTACCTGATATTTAAACACGTTTAACAATACTAGTGTGGAAATAAACTGATTCATAATTTGATATAATCAACTACCTACGAGCATCAATTATATATATCCACATTGAAATTTATAGCCATTTGATGCAACAAGCAGATTTACTCCACAGCTTCACAAAAGACCAGAAAAGATTTTTGTGAGCCAAACACTGTATACAGCACACTTGCATTCAACTGCCACAGCAAACCAGCAGTCAATGAGTTAACCCTCTCAGCACAGGCATCCTTTACTGCACATGTCACGAGGTTTTTAGTGATTTACATTAAAAATGTAATTAAAACTATTTTTTGTTTATGTTATACCAATTAGTATAGAATAAAATCATAGCTAGTAATCCATATTTTAATAGTATATAAGTTTTAAGTTATTGATTTTATAAGGGAATATTAAAAAAAATTCCTGAATTTCCCCCTACTGTGAGAAATTGACATTTCTTATCTATGTATACCCTCTTCTGTAATTTATTTACCACCCCTCCAATAAATATGAAATTTAATGTAAATTACATACTATCAAATCATCATTGCTCAGACAAAGCATAATTGTTATAGCCATCAATCTTGTTTGGTTATAGATCCATCAAATAGAAAAGCAGACCAGACCCCTCATGCCACACCCACCTGTCACATCCTCTCTAAGAATTTTTTAATAGTTCTCTCATGTTTAATATTATATTTTCATAACCAATAGAAAGTCAAGGATTTCATCTATCAAATGACAGATTACATTGTTTCCTGAATAGAGAATTGTCAATTTCTCTTTTAGTACAAGCTTTGTACCCACAGGAAACATAGAATAACATGGATGAATTTGTAATGGCTCTTGTTGCATAGTTAAAAAGCCAGAAAAATTGTGACAGTTATAGGACAGCTTGATTTTTGCATGTTATTTGATGCATTATTTAATTAAATACAAGTTATTTAGTGCACTACTACCATTTGTATAAAGAAAAGTAGGGTTAAGTGTCATCAACAGTGAACAGCCAAAAAAAAAAGGTCCAGGTAAGTACTTTATTTATTATTATAAAAGTAACTAAAATGTAAAAATAGGAATCTCTTTGGATTAGTTAAGGTTAAATTAGGTAAAATAAATAATAATATAATAATAATTTTCCACGAGGCACGAGCTGCACCAGCTCCGAGTAATGTAATTCAGTAGTGTAATATGAACAACACGTAATTTACAATGGCATGAATAGTAGTAAGACATGGTTCAAAGTATAATCAAATTTAAGTATAAACAGATGTATACTGTTGCGAGTTTAAAGCTACTTAGGATAAATAAATGTAGTTCCATGTTACAATTTGAAGTCATTCTAGAAAGAAAAAAGGGTAATAATTTAGATTTCTTTTTATTTCTTTTTTGGTGTTTATCGGGTCAGTCAAATTGACCAATCGTGTATAGAGATAGGGCAGTCAAACAATAAAATTTAATTATAAATAGATTTATACTGTTACAAGCTTAGAAATACTTGGGATAAACAAATGTAGTTTTATGTTACAATTTGATATCTTTCTAGAAAGAAAAGGGTAATTTAGATTTATTTCAATTTCTTTTTTTTGATAGTTAGGAGGTTGGTCAAATTGACTAACCTTGTATAGAGTTATGGTAGATAAAACAAAGTTTTACAGAAAACAAACATTTGAAACGTATTTAGAGATTACACAAATGAAATTTGAGATTTCTGGGATGAAGAATAGCATTTTTAGTCATAACAAGAAAATCACTTTGCACTTGTACTAGTAAGGAAACAGACCCGATGTATTTACAAACAAATCTTTAGTAAAAAGATTTCATTAAAAAACCCTAAAGTCTACCTAATTTTGTGAAGATAATATAAATACTTAACAAGTGCAAACGTGTATTGTGACTCAATATTTTACACTGAAGCCAATGTGAAACGCTTAATATCATAATCAGTACATGCAAATCACAGTAGTTGGCTACACTGCATACTCAGTTAGACCAAGTTCAGGGTGGATAATTGGCAAATTTGTTAATCAAAGAACTTTTGACAGACAGTAGATATTACCAGTAAATCAATGTAACACTACATGTACACAGTACCAAATGTCATATTAACCCTCTCCAGACACGTCACGGGTCAAAGCCCATGTCATTGCTATAGTTCACTTGCATTCAAAATAAGGAACTCAAATTACCGATATTGACAAGCTAGAATATAAAATAAGAACCCCGTATCTTTTCTATTTGCTGAGGTATCACGCGTGTATTGAATCAATCACAGTGGCCCCACTCACCTCTTTCCATTTCTTGGAAACAGTCCCTCATATACGCTTACTTCATTACGACATGTGAATAATCAATTGAAAGCTCAGAATGTCCCCTTAGTGGCTTTCTCAGCCATTTTCATGTGTTATTATGCCAACTCCTTCTTTCAAACTAAGCTTGATAAATTAGTGGAATTCTATGGTATCGATATAGTAATTTATGGTTTTTTGGTTATCCAGCTGTATATATAAAAACCTAAAAAAAATTATTTCATATCCTCCAAGTGCGAAATTTTAAAAGCTTAGCAACCTACATCAAGCAGCAACTAAGTACAAAGGTCATAACTAGAAGAGATAATTGTTTACTTTACTTCTTTATTTACTGTTCTATGTTTTAACAAAAAACAAGTTTAAGAACATAATTGTAAATAGTAATAATGTATTATATTGGAAATATGACTGTATTTTACAAAATATTAGTCCACTAAAACACAGCCAAGACAGGTCACTTTGTAAAGACCAATAGTCAGTTTTATATTATTGGATACAGTAACATGAAAGTATGTGTGCCGCATCATTGTAACTTCTGTATTGTTAGCCAGGCACGGATGAAAGGTCAATATAATCAAAATAATAAATATATATAAATGTATAATGTTATGATATTTAAGCTATTTAGTCTAAAAATTTATGTTTTCGTGTTATAATCTGTTGTAATTCTTGAATGAAAGAGGTATAATTTATATTTATTTCCTAATTTTTATGGTGGTTACAAGATTAGTCAAATCTATCAAACCTGTATAGAGATTTGTTATTGAAAATAACAGCTAAAATATAAAGTTGATTTCTTAAGAAACATTAGATAAATCTGGACATTATAAAGATTTCACATGTGAAATTTGAATATTTTCTGATGCATTAAAGTATTTTTAATCTTAAAATGAAAATTACTTTGCATACTGGATAGGCAACATGTGAAAAGAAACAAAAGGCATGAGAAAAACATTGCTTAACAAACCTTAAGACTTCATTAAACAAAAAAAAAAATTTATATTTTGAATATGAAAGCACTTTAATGTTTACAGATAATCTGCCAAATTTCATTAACATATGCTTAATAATTTAAAAGTTACAGCATAAAAACTATTACAAGCACAAAATGTTTACAAGGTCAGTCCCATGGACCAAGCCCATGCTGCAAGAGTTAAATACTTCCTGTTTCAAGTTCTGAAGCCACTGACCTTGAGACTAGCAATAATTGTATAATCAATTATTATTTTGGAACTACGTTTATGATCATTTCAATGTGGGTCAACTGACCACTTATTTATCAGTTAAATAATCTAAAACTTGTATCAAATACATAAATAGCCACTTACTAACACAGTTTTTTGATTAATTTTTAGGCCTTAAAATTCCCAGTTTGTTCATAGGTAAGTTTACTAGCAAATTATAATAAGAGCAAGCATTCAATCCAAACAATAAAAAACTATTTGTGTCACAGCCTGACATTTCTTACACACACACAGCACTAATATAGTGCATGAATTTAACAGGTCCTTGGTTATCACATGCTGAAACCCTTATAGGCGAGTTATTTATACCATGCCATATTATAATATACTTCAACTTTATTCACATTATCACAAAAACATTTGATAATAAACATCAAAACAGCAGCACTGTAAGCCTCGTGGCTTTCTTGTCAGAAGATTGGAAATAAAAGTAAACTGCTTATTTACATGAGTAGAATTCATTATAAGAAGAGAATACAATATTAATTTTTAGCCCCCCCCCCCCCCAAGTTCTCCCTCTGCTAATATTATATACAAGTCTTGGACTTGCACCCATACTATAGGACTTTAAAATGAACTAGTGTTCAATCTAAACAATAAAAACTTGTATTTATTGTATCATAACTTATACTTCTTACCTTATGGATATTTTTTAAATGTGTGTGTGTGTGTGTGTGTGTGTGTGTGTGTGTTAACCCATTTGACAGTCAATTAACACTTTTCTCCTGGCTGGTCAAATGCCCAGACTTGTAAGAGGTTTTGGTGATTTTTAAATAAGGAAAACAACAAAATTTCACACAACATTGGATTCCACAGACACAAATTAGTAGATTTATGCTACCTTCCTACTGGAACAATGTTAACATAATGTTAGTGATTTATTGCTTTACCTGGTAACCTGATTCTGCGTGACGCCCATGTCAAGGCAAGAGAAAATGTAGTCCCAAGAAAATCGATCAATGTCTAATTCATACACGTGGATATATATTATATGGATAAATGAAATGAACATTTTAAACAACCAAATGTTAGAAATGAAGTATGAGCTTACCTATGTACTTATGAAAAAAAAGGAGAGATTTTTTAATGACATTGGTTGAAAACTAGAAATACCCTGATTGACAGATACGTACGAGTAGTAAACTCCACCCGTTCTACGTCATGTCATTGATAAATCATATTGTTATGTTAAAGAAATTAGTCATCCCAGATATAATCGTAATACAAAAGCTGAGAAAACAAGTGTTTGTCTATGAATTAACAAGGAAATTAGTAACAAGTGCAGATATAAGACGATATTATTTAAGGTTAGCAGCAAAGGTGGCTTATTCATAGAATAATTATTGGTAAAAATCAGTTAGATTAACAACTTTTAATATATATAGAAAAGCCAGTGCATTTTGGTAACACTACATTCCAACATTTCGTCCGCTATTCAATATTGCTTTCATTATGTGGAATGGACATGTTTCAATTTCAGGGTATTATATTGATGATAATTATATTAATTCTTAAAGCACAGGTGAAAAACTATTTTCAAGACTGTATTGCCCTCATTTCACTCAAGTCGTTTGCATAATTATTCACAAGTACACATGGAATGCTTTAAGGTTATAGCCTGTATTCGGTTTTGTGAGGTATTTCATTTCTATATAATACAGATATTGATTGCATAACTCTCCAAGTTTAGAGTTGTGATTTCTAATTATTGAACGTATATATATATTATTTAACATCCAAACAAGACTGCCATTGTTCATACCATTTTTATTATAGACAGTTGCTGCACACATTCTTTCGCTGTAGCCAAACTCAATGATATGAAGCAAACTGTTGTCAGGACAACGTGGTCTACTTACAACTGACGATATGACATAAAGCAACATGTTGCCAGGATAACCAACAGACTGATTACAATCCCAATTCACCATTTTTTGACATGTCAGTTTGATTTGAGCAGACATATCTATGTGTCGGTTTATGAATCATGTAGTCCACAACACCAAGTTTATTGTATACTTTTGTTTCTATCGATTCAATGGCTAAACAGAATTTTAAATGGTTTTAAAGTTTTATATGCATGTTTTCAAACAGTAAATGCTTCTTGATCCAATGAAACCAGCCAGACCAAAGTAGAGCATGAAGAGAGCTAATGTTTGATGTATCACTGGTCCTTATTGGTCAAGCCAATTTAAAACCAGCACACTGGTTTTGGTTTTAACATTTGCTCACTGGTTGTGTTAGTTTTTATACTAGTGAGATATTGTTGCCTTGAAATACAGCATGTATTAGTAATGTAGATGTTTCCCATTTGTTGTTTGGTGTATAATCAATCGTATTTTATTTATGCAAGTTTTATATATTCGCAACAGTGATTCCGTGTTCACATGCTTCAATGGTCGGGAACTTTAATTCTACTAATAACTGACACACGCAGTTATTACTGAATGAGCCTAGATTCTAAAAATTCCATATTCTGGACAATGACAGGTGAAAGATGTGTTCAAACAGTATTTTAATATATGTCTACAAACAACTGATACAGAAAGGATTCACATACCTTAAATTTTCAATACGTTTTACAATTTTTGTCTTGATTAAAAGTAAACCAGCCTGTAACTTCCTACTTCCTTTAGTAAAACTACGTATGCTGAATGTATGGAATACAAGTCACGCTTCTTTACTGAAAACATTCACTGCAGTGTTGATGGGACTTGTAGTTAAATATGCAAATCACAATCATGATTCATATGCTTCTCTCTGGGCACGGTTAATCGCCCTCCGCATTATAGAAGAAACCATGCAATTTAAAATATCTACCAAAATGAACACACAAATAAGAAAAACCTGGCTGGATGCAAAAAATTGCGTGTACTACTTACTTTATATCTATTTTAAACAGCAGAATTTAATTGCTCTATCTGACTGGCTGGAGACAGTTTTTAAGAATCGTTACATCATCCAATGAACATAGCAGTGTCATACAACTATACTAAACTACCATATTAAAGGATATATATAGACAGACAGATACACTTTACATTTGTATTATTAAGGTACTTATTATCGGATTAGTTCAATTTCAACAATAATTTAGATTATAAACAAGTTTCAATCATTTTTATCTGCATTTCTCTTTGTAAAATGACCCATAAAAATACTTATAATTTTTAAGATTGTGAGATAATTTGCAGAAATCTGATTTTTTCCAAACACTTTAATTAAAGTTAACTAGTTTCAATAATACTTGAGAGACAAATATTAATTAAGTATCAAATTGCTTCTTACACTTACTTCATTATGATGACTTTTCCTTTCTCAAAGTGTTTATCAAATAGTGTTCCTCTACAATGACAACACTACTGCTGCAAATATCTGAAAGAAAAAAACAGGATTAGATGAAAATTATGTTAAGAGATAAGTGAGAAAAAATGCAGAAAATCATAATGAAATTAAAATTTTAAATTCGTATTTGTTGGTAAGCAAAAAGCCACCCGAGCCTTGCCTACCATACGGATGTATTCACAGTTATTAGTATTATAAACTTTGAAGGTTACAACAGAGCCCAGGATTATCAATAACTCAGAAATATTTTGCACGCAGGTTGTTTTACTATTGTTTTTTCTATATTCCTACTAATTTGTCCATGAATAACACAAATATGAGGCATATTGAACTGAATACTTCACCAGCTTTCAGAGTTTAAATTATAAGTTTGTTTCTTTTTCTTTAAGTAGAGGGTGGTTTTGAGCAGCCAGGTATTGTAGACTGTTTATGTAGGTACTCGTAGCATAAATACAAGTTTCTATCAAAATTGAATATATTTTAACTCAAGTAATTACATACAAACACACGTTTTACTTTTTTGCTCAAACATTATCATTAGCCATGAATTACATTTGGATGATTTTCTCATAAAATGATAAATCTCAATTTCATAAATAAACTTAAGACTATCATATTAATAACTTTTAGGCTTAACATATTACTCTGTGTAACATAAAGCCCCCTTATCATAACGAGTGTATACAGCTCAACGCGCGCCCTCACACACATACACACAGTGACACTGACATTAGTGTCAGTTGGGCTCTCTCTCTTAGCCGTACGATAGGTTTAGGCTACTGTTAGCTCAAAGTTTTATGTTCTAAGCCTAAATTTACTTACTGCCTGATAAAAGCATTTAAAAGCAACCCAGAAGAAAGTTTGCTGCTAAATTCATGGAGCACGAAGAAAAACGAAAAATATATTTTGCAAATAATACTTATCTATTTAAATATTACTTTAAAAATCGTAAAAAATGAAGTGAAAAGCCAAGACTTCGCCATCCATGATGGCTGTCCTTGAACGAAACGACTCCAGGAGATGTAATACTAGCTTATAAGAAGTTACTGTTCCATTAAAAATAAATAATATTAAAAAATAACAACACAATACCCTTTAATGAAGATCTCTGCTAACTCCAAAAAGCCTTGCGGCAAAGGATGGTCCTCGACCCTCATAATATTACCAGATTTCGAGTGGAAGAAAAGAACCCGTTAAATATCACTGATTGCGCACCATGGCAAGGACGCCTTGTACGCGAGAAGGTTCAAATTTACCAACGTCATTGGTCGGTCTAGACCACGTGATCAACACCTTCACGATCTTAATAAATTTATTGTGAATTTAGACTTTAGTTTAAACTCTAACATAGTTTTTTCATTTGTTATATCCATATGTTTCAGTTTAAACCATTATGTTTCCCGCTAAGTAACAAGAAATCCACTAAGGCATCACTAACGCCACTGTCCTACCGCCTTTGCTGTTATGGTTGCCACTGTTGTTAGTACACTCAACGCTCTTACGGTCACATGACCTCTGATATTTTCTTAATGTTACTTTACATTGCTTGTACGAACAGTCAACAAATCAAAAAATAAATAAATATGCAGTTAATATTTTGGACATTTTCAATAAATCTTTATAATAAATGGTCTGCATATGTAAACTATTTTAATCATACTAAATGATTTCTATCAATAGGTGTAACACAATAGGGGAGCATTTTTTTACATAAATGTTTTAAGAAAAATAGCTATAGAGTTAAAACACAGTTTTTAGTTTCTAGCTCAATAATAACTCAAGAAACCAAATATATATTTGTCAGTGTTAATTTATAATGTGTAGTTTTCAGTTACAATAAGGGAATGACATTTTTAGTCATATCACAGTTTGAACTATAATTACGTGTCTGTTAAACAAAAACAATGATAAAAAGGAATTAAATGTTGTTAGGAAAAATTAGGTTCAAATAAATCAATTTAGAGATCGTTCTACAACATACTAGAAACACACCGCTAGCATATAAACCGTTAACAGGCCGCATTGTGTGTCATTTCTGGATAGTATTTGTTTGTGCGCGCACTTTGACATTATTTCTTTCTTTTCCGTATTAGTTATTTGGCGCTATGACCCAAAGATATTCTATTATATTTGTTGTAAAGAAACATAGGCAAAACATTACAAAATTTGTCAAAAAAGCGTATTATGCGTATTTTGGAATAAAACTTGGCGACCAAGACAAATCATGGGCTCTGCACAAAGTTTGCCCCGTTTGTGTCGAAGAGTTGAGACAATGGACTAAAGGTAAGAAAAAGTATTTCCTTTTTGGAATTCCAATGGTCTGGCGTGAGCCTAGAAACCACGGAGATGATATTTTTGCTCATGTAACGTTCAAGACTACAACACTCGAAATAAAAAGGAAATTTCTTATCCGAACTTTCAATCTGCATAAAGACCTGTTGCTCATGGACCTGATGTACCTGTACCTACTCCACCAGAGACTCTTGATACAGTTTGATCTGATTCTAAATCTGATGTCAATAGAAATAATGACAGGGTTTGTTTTCAACCTGAAACTTCTG